TTTGCTCGTATGTAATGAGTGAGCCAAGTATATTATCAATAGAGTACATGTTTAAATGTTTTGATTCATAGATGGCAATAACTTTGGTATCATAACTATCAGGTAAAAATATAGAATATTATTGACTTTTTTAGAATTTGATAACTCTCTACTAAGTGCATGCAATGATGTTGCAATCTTATTAAATCTAGTGTACATGTCAGTTATTATCTCATTAGATTTCATGTAGAATAACTTGTAATCATGAAATAATATAGTCATATGGGATTGTTTAACTTCATTGGTTCTTTTAGAACTGAGATTCAATCTATCCCAATTTTTTTCCTAATTATGTATAAAGAAACATGCATATAATTCTCAGACTTTAAAGAACAAAAAAAAAATTAAATTTTTATATTGAGTTGTGCATATTCTCTTTCCTCAAAACTCCATTCATTAAAACGAATTTCTTCCTTGTTACCATTTACAAAATGAGATGGATGTGTACATCCTACTTGGATCATATGCGGCATGCGATAATCAATATATTAAATAAATGTAGACATGCACACTTTCCATAAATCATAAGTAATAACATCAAACATAGGTGAAAGTGCAATTGAATATCCTTCATTTGTATTGTAATTTCCATTATAAATTTCCATTGGATCTACTCAAGGTTCTTAAACCAAAAAATCATGAGAAATCGCTCTAATACTAATTAAAAGTTCATGATGGTTTGTTAAACCACTAGAAATGCCCAAGGAAAATCAAGAGAGGAGTGAATTGGTGTTTTAAAAATTTTCTCTCAAAATATTCTTTTGGAATCTCAAAACCAGTTACACAAATTTCTGCGAAAGAAATTTATAAAATAAATTTTTTTGCTCTTTTGGATTTTTGTAGAAAAATAAATGAGAAAATATATTTTATTATCTTTTCTTTTTCTAATAAAATTCAAATCAAAATAAGTATCAACAATCTTAACAAATGCTTGTAAGAATATAAAATATAGGGAAAATTAATACAAGAAAATAAATTGCAAAAAGAAAAGTAGAACTAGCACAGCAGATTTATAGTGGTTCGGTCAAATCTTGTCCTACATCCACTCACCAGAGTTCTCCTTTCCTAGTATTGCACTAAACCTTTTAGTGACTCTCCTTTAACCCCCACAGCAAAGGCAGAGAAGCCCATACAAAATCTCTTCCACCAACTTGATGCGGCAGAGTACCAGAATCCTTTTCACTCTCTTAGTAAGGCAGAGAACCTTGAATCCTTTTCACCCCCTCCTGGTGAGGTAGAGAACTTGGAATCCATTTCACCCTCCTGGTGAGGTAGAGAACATGATAATCTTCAGCCTTGAAAACTTTCTTCTCAAGGAAATCCAAAATATTTATGAATACATATGGAGGAACTAAGGTAGAAGCTTGCTTGGAGCAATCGTATGAAATCCCCTCACACTACCTCTCTCTCACACACAACTTCTCATTCTCCCTCTCTAAACTCCAAGATCTCTTAAGAAGTTAACTTCTCAAAGCCCTCTCATAGAAAATTTCTCAATAGCCAAAGTCTTTTTGAAAGTCCAATGAGACAGTTTAAATATGAGGCTTCTAAAAAATTCTAAATTTTTAATTCTGTCACTTCTGATCATGTTGTACAATGGGTGACCATACATTACAATTAGCTTAATTCATCCTATTAGTATTGTACAATAAATGAAGGTTTGTATGATTAGTTCAAATACTTGAACTGATCATCCCATATGATGTCAATGATCATACAATACAATTAGTTCATCAAATAGATTTCATCCAGTATGATCAGTGGTAATTAAATATCATCTTGGGTGTACTTAGGCTATATTATATAAAGTAACGCATCATATAATACAATATAAAATATCAATTAATATTGATTTGATTTCCTAATAATAGAATTAGATTATTTAATATTTAATAATATCATCCCATATGATGGTAATCGTACAATATGATTATATCCATTTTTTAATATTACAATAATACCTTATTTATGATTGGCTGTAAGATTTTTGAGTTCTACAGATCATCCTATAAAATTTGGATCATATTGTACAATCTATACAAATTTAGATTAGCTTAATTAAATATCTTAATTAATTCCTAGATTACTCAGATCATATAATACTATCCAAATTATACTAGATGATCTTCATAGAAGTTAAACACTTAATTTTTCTCCCCGTGTGTACAGTTTCTAAGCTGGCATACACCTTTTATAGGACTTTTGACTTAAGAAATATAAAAAATTAAAAAAAAAATCAAAATATAGACTCTTACAAAAATATCAAGCCTCTTTTACCTAGTCTTGAGTCAATCCTTTTGCACGGTATATAAAGAGAAATGTAAAGATGGCAAGATCAAAAGCTGATTAAGAAGGAATGTTCCCCTCAATAAAAAGTTTTTTTATATAATTCTAGATTGAAATTGTTTCATAGGAAGTTGAAATTTAGGTGGTTTGGTCTATTTATTGTAGTTAAAACATATCCATATGGAATTATAGAAATGCAGGACAAGAAAATTGCCCAAACGTTTAAGGTGAATGGAGCAAGACTTTAGCCTTATCTAGAAGGGTATATAGAATGTAGTAGAGTGGTAATTGAGTTCACTTATTCTAAATAGAATGTAATATACTCTGGCTGAAAACTATAAACTTAGTGCTCATTAGAAGGTAACACAAATGTGTATTACGACGTGTTAGTGATCTCTTTGATGTATCCCTAGTGAATGAAGTTAATGTCATATGATTAGAGTTTTCCTAGTGTTGTCTTTGATGTATGCATAGTAAATAATGTTAAAGTTATGAGATTGGACTTTCCCCAGTGTTTTAAACCTTATGTGTGAAAATCAGACCTTGAGTGCCATAGGGTTTAGTCCCTTAGTTCCACAATGCCTATTCTTTTTGAGGAACTAATATTATAATATAGCAATGTAGTACCTTAGGAACCCATCACTTCTATGCAAAATTTCCATCTATCATTATAACGCTCAGTACCCTAGCTCTGTGATATTGAGCTCTCAAATTGTAAGCTAATTTAAAAGAGTTTCACGTCACATATTTCAATCTCATGACGCTAGGTCAAAGCCTCATAATTAAAGCAATTGAGAGTCATGGTGGAGGACATCCTTAGCATCATAGCGCTCCCATGTGTTGAATATTGTGGTAGAGGCTTAGTTACAAAGCTAGCATTTCAATTTTATTGGCAGAGCGTCACCACAACACCTAACTACATTGCCACAATGCTAGTCCTTCTAGTTGACCTATTGACTAACTAGCACCGTGACGCTGTTAACTTTATAAAATGAGATAGCAGCAGATTTCATTTCTCACGTGATTCAAAAAATCTCAAGCCCAATTCTTGGAGCATTTATTGTAGGAGATAATGGCTCCAAAGATCACAATAGATAAGAAAAGGTCATCATCTTCTTCTTCCTCTTATGATAAGAAGCAATTTATTAGCTTTACTATAGCAGAAAGGCATAGCCACTCTATTGTTTATAAGCAACTAATCTCTGAGAGGGATTTTTGGAGACCAAGGGGCCAAGTAGAACATATGATATAAACTAGGAGTCGGGGAAGCTTTTATGTAGAGCAAAATGCTTTCATATTCCCTATTATCAAGGAATTCTTCGTTAATACATACGAGGCTAAAGACAATAGAGTCTTTGTTAGTGGACAATGGGTCACATTTGATAGTATTACTATCAATGGGGTCTATGGAACCTAAAACTATGAATTTGATGACTATACAGCCTTTATCAATGCCTTAGTAAATTACGATGACATTTTGAAAGCCCTCACTAACTCAAATTGTGATACATCATAGAAAGCTTGGGAGGATTTTTTTCTTGCTTCTACACTCACCCAAGTCTCCAAGGCTTGGCATTACTTAATCTCAGTGAGGTTACTTCCTGACCAGTATAAGTGAGGTCACTGAGGATACAACCATTTTGAATTATGTCGTTCATATTGGTCTCACTATAGCTGGAGGGAACTTCATTCACTAGTCTCTTATTTATATAATTAGGGATTCTACTTATGTAGGCTTTGGAGACTCATCTTTAGAATATTCACTTTGTATATAAGCTATTTTTATAAGAAAACAAGGGGAGGGGTAGCTTTTCCCCATTTCTTCCCTTACAAAAATTAAAATCCTATTTTTTAAGATCCTACTAGGTAACTTGGGGAGGGACCTAACCAACTTAGACAGCCTGTACAACCCAAGCCTAGAGTCCCTAGGATCTTAGGAGATCAGGTATCATATATCAAGGATCAGGTTGCTTCCATTCAGAGTTATCCAGATGAATATAGATAGTGGCAATATGGAATAAGCCACAAGATGGACTATATGATGAACATGCAAATACTTATGGAATCATACACCTTAGATGAACCTTAGAAAATGATAACTTTAACTACACAAGGTGGAGAGAAAAATAGGTATTCAAAATCATTAAGAAGTACTTGGAAAAAATACTAAAAGGAAAAGAAAAAGAACAAAAATAATGGAAAAAGAAAGTATGATGAAAGTTACGAACTAAAACATCAAAAGTTGATACTTGAAAGTCTAACACCACACAAAAGATCTAAGATGGAATTAACCTATGGTGAATTACATGAATTATAGTGCATAAGAAAGCTTATTATATGCCTACAAGATTAAATAAATATGACTTTCTTCTAACCGTAAGATCATTAACCTTAGGTAAACTAGTCAAAAATCCAAAAGAGGGGATTTCAAGTAAAGGCCACACCACTTGAAATAAATTTTGATTTAAATTTTATTAGAATTTAATTTTGATTGTTTGGGTATAATTTGATTTAGTTTTACTTTATTTATATTATATTTTATTTTGGTATTTAATTTAATTTTATATATATATACTTTTATTGGCTCCTTTACTATAGAAAAAAGAAGAAAATATCAAAACCAAGTAAGCCACATAGAGGAGCATCTCAATATCAAAGGCAGGTGGGAGGAATTATAGAGAACAAAAATCAATCATAAAAGCATAGCGTTTTGATGATCACATTAGAATAATAACAGTAACCTTCACAATAGAGATAAATGTTAGCTTTCTTCGAAAGCAACTTGCACAAGGCAAGTCGAGTGATATAATAATCCCTGAAATGCACACCATTTAGCCATAAATAAGCATGGGCGATATGTAGTATTTTGAACGCAGTTGCTGCCAATATTTACACAGTAACAGATGCAGCAAACTGGTAAATACATGGTTTGGAAGCCAGTTTCAAGTTAAAATGTACTAAAAAGCAGAAATATTTATACTGAAATCATTTACTCTTCTCTCCAGTGACAAGCTCCATTACAACTCGCTTGATGCTTCCACCATTCTTTAACAACAGCTTCCTGTTCAGCTCCCTGTCATAAAAACCCTGCAATACAACATCCCATCCATCAGCTACCGCACAGCCAATATGAGAATTACGAAAAATAATTACCATTTCCTTCAGGTCTTCGAGAAGGGGATCCCATTCATCGAAGCCGCAGAGATCCTCCACCGCCTGCTCCAGGTCATAATGATTCTGCCTCAGAATTTCTTTGTTCAAGTCAATCTGCTTGAAGCCCATCTCTTCTAGCTCTCTCAGCAACGTTTGCTCTACTGTGTTCTCTTCAGTGAGAACATCTGATGGAAGCTGATTGGTATCCGGAGGGTTAGATGAATAGATGTCAATAAGAGGATATGAAACTGGGGGTAAAGGTTCTTCTACGTTAATGGCAGGATTTGAAACTGGAGATGAGGATGTTGGGACATCAATGAGGGATGGAGAGGAAACTATGAAAACTGAAGCTAGAGAGTCACTTGACGGTTGCGGCGGAGCTGCAGGAACATCCTGCGGTATCAAATTCGGCATATCAGGATCCGCAGGATTCATAACCAGGGGACAAGATTCTTGTACATCAATGGCAGGATATGAAAATGGAGAAGAAGAGGATATTGGGACCTCAATGAGGGCTGCTGGGGAAACCATGAAAGATGAATCAAGACTGTCACTTGAAGGTTGAAGAAATGAGTTGCCATCCTGCTGTGCTGAATTCAGCATATCAGAATCCAACGGCTTCAAAAGTTCCTCTAATAATTTGCTTTCATCTGACTCAGCAGGCACGATCATTTCATCACTCTGGTGACTAACTTCAGGGGGCAAGTTCAAGTTGAGAAAAGTAGGGGCAGCACAAGAAGAAGCTGGTGATGGTTGATCATCAACCTGCGTTGATAAAATTGCATATATATAATTTGCTACAAAGATAATAGTAGGAATCAATAGATCTTTTACAAGATAATAAATAAATGGGCAGCGAAAAAATTATCAAGACCTGGATAATGACCCAAACTTCCTCTCCAAACTTTTGCCCAGAAGGTGATATCATCTGCCAATATGATATGTATCGACCTAGTACTGATGGTGCAACTAAATCAACTGCAACGTCAAGTTCCTCATCCACAGGAAATCCTCTCTCCGGAATCTAAATTTATTAGAAATAATATCACTAATGCATCTACCGGAAATTTAGGCCAAGCAGCAGGAGTTTCAATTAACTAAAAAATGCCAAATGGAATCAGTTTAATTAAAAAAAGTTGTAAACCTCCAATTCAGCAGAGTTTTGGCCCCCCAAATGATATCCTCTAATCCACACAAGTTGGGTACCCGACGGCCAGGCAATTGCCCCATTGTTGCGCATCCTCCATATTTTCGTAAACCGAGAAGAAGGGCACATAACAGTTCCATCCCAGACAGTTATATCTCGAATGAAGCAACTCCAAAGCTTTGGTTTAGTTACCTTCACTCTATTATGGGATTCAATCATCGAAAAGAGCCGGTTTCTATGCTTCTGGAATAGGAGAAAATGACGCAATTAAAACAGCAAACAGTAGTGTACAATGTGATAATCAGGAAAGAAAACTAATAATCATACGTGCTTGTGGTGGTCTTTCTTTGGTTTAGGAAAACGGAAGGCTGACCCATCAATTCTGGTATACTCGGCCTCTTTACCCATATCTTGGAAACAAGTACCACATAAATCATAATCTTCTTTCCTGCACGCAACAAAAACATAGTGAACCAAGCTGTGTAACCATGTGGCTAAACTTAAGTATCAAAATCAGAAAGCATAAGATTGCTATAACAAAAGTGCACGAAAGGTCAGTAGCTCCTCACAGATTAGACTTGTATCTTGGTCCCATAATAGGGTGCATCCCACAACCATCACAAATGACACCCCTGTGGAAAGTGCGAGATGTGTTGTCATGACAACTAGATGACCTCCTGTAAGAATGTGGCATTGAAGAAAGGCAAGAAAAACTTGAAGCACCATGTATGTCCCAAAAGGCATTGCCCTTACAACTGGAATCAACTTTCGGCGGAAAGGAGAACATTGTATTAAAAGGACAGCGATTATTGACATCAGAAGGTCTCATATTGGAACGAGGAATTGCAGTAGAAACAGCATGCCTGTTTGCTAAGGCATCACCCTGAGAAGTGAAACCAAAAGGGAACTGACTAGCAACATCAGAAGGCCACCTATCAGTACTGGTGTTTCCATGCGAAAACATCGAAGCAACAAAGGGTTTTGGTTCGTCAGAACTTCCCAAGGTACTATGACCACCCTGAGTATCAAATGGCATAGGAGGCTCAGCAGCCAACTCAGACTTTCCATCATGGTGACCTTCACAGTTGTCCTTCTGCTCCTTGCTCATATTCGGATAAAAATCCATAGGAGCATAGTTTATTGATCCCAAACATTGGCTTGACTGGCCAACTTCGTGTATCTTTTGAATATTTTCATGAATTGGACTAACGAAGTTAGTCTGAGGCAAGACTCTGGGTAATTGATTTTGTAGATCATTTGAAGCTTTAGGTTCATCACAGGTATTAAGGTCCCCTGCCCTAGAAGGAGATCCACATGCTGTATTCACTGGTTTGCCAAATGGCTCCTGAGATGATTGAGTGTCATTGGTAAGTTGCATCTTGGATAACAGCGAGAGAAGTTCACTCAGAATAGGAGCAGTTGATGCAGTTTTTATCACATCACGAGAAAGATTTGTGAGGACCCCACGAATTGGATCAGGAATAGGCTTCAGTGACTTTTCAACCGTAGAATTCAATTCAGCTGCAAGCCTAGGAAACCTGTTATGGGACGGGCTAGCTTCATCAGATCTTATCTCAGAATTATTCCCATGTCTCACAGCGCTTGGTCTTGAATAAGAACCATCAGTTGAATTAGTTTTTAGCTGAACAGTTATTCTTAGAGGGTTTAACCTCTGACTTAAAACAGCATCACGCAATTCATCATCATTTTCTAGAGCCACCACATCACCATCTTCATCATTATAGGTAAGAACTAGAAGTGCATCATTACTGAACTTGAAGAGGCTTGATATTTTGGTTCTGAGCATATTCATGTCATATTCAATGGTCATGAGTTGTTGATGGACGTAGATACTGAATCTCCTGAGAGTATCACCATATTTTACCTGAAAGTGAAAAGAAAATCTTAGGAAGTTGCAGTTCAGAAGTCTGTAAATTAAAAATAATAATTCGATCCAACAGATGGTAAAGGTAATAGATAAGAAATTTATCTACAAAAAGGCTTGCGTAGTCAGATTTAGTAATACGTTGATTACCATCATTGAGGAAGACTTTAAAAAGGAGTAAGTATAACTTTAAACCAAATTAAACGTCAATTGGTATTTGCATGCCACAGCGCCACGCATGAAACATATTGTGAACCTTTTTTTTGCATAAAATGTTGATTGGTTATAGACGTTGTTGACTGGCATGAAAAGAAATGTAAGATGAGAGGAAAGAAAGGCTGAACTTCCTCTTTTACAATAATGCAAGCATAACTATGGTGTGATGACAGAGTAGGAAAGGCAAGGCCATCATGTTTTTCTTCCTTTATTTTTCCTTTGGTGCAGACAAATTAATCTTTGTGATCCAAATATCTGTTCATGCTCGCAGGAAGCATCCCACTACTTAAGAACTATGGTTTTTTTTTTTTTTTCAGAAGTTTGTTTATTTTATTTTGTCTCTTTCTTTATCTATTTTTTAGAACATACCGATGATGAATATTTATGGGAGCAACATAAGTTCTCTAGTGGGTTGATTCATAGTATGTGGTAGGTTTCTACGGTCTGGCCTAAATTCATGTTATAATGGCTGTGGTTATTCTCAAATTCAAAAATACATTTCAAATTTACTTCTTGTTTTGGAGTTTATCAGTTCCCCATGATGTGGATTTAGGGTTAATTTTTGCTGCAATGCCCTAGCCATACGTTTTCTGAAGATCTGGGCTTTTTGATTTAGTAGCTTGATTCAGTGGCTGGTATATAGGCGTTTGGCATTTGGCTTCATCTGTTAAAATCCACAAAGGAGCAAATAGCTTCTATTGTTGCTGATTGACGTATATGGGACTAGAGATTTTTCCTATTGCAGTCCAATTATTACTACTGTTTTGGGCTAAATTAAGATTTGAATTTTGGAAAATTATGTAACAAAACTGAGCTGATTTTGCACAACTCATCTACTAACCTTGGGGTGAAAAGCCTATAAATAGATGACATGAACTATGTAATTTAATAAATTTATTTTTAAAAAAATTCTTCCATTAATTTCAAACTTGTGTGTGAAAATTGCATGTGTTATTCCATTTAGTGCAGACAATAATACATATTTTGGGGGGGAAATTATACCCTTTCTCCCCGGTATAAGACCTGATTTTTTTGCTATTTTTTTGCTACGTGGAATTCTTTTCTATATTAAATTTCTTCTAAATAAATTGTTATTGGCTTGTAAGTGTTCAAGATTTTGCAAAATTGGATACAGCTGAAATCCCTGATGTGGTGAATAAATTGTAATAACTTATTGATGTTGTATGGATAAAATTTCTTATTGTTTGGTTCAAATTTATTTGATCTATGCATCATCATTCGAGTTCTATATTTCATATATATTGATTGCAATTAAAGAAAGAATTTTTTTATGTATCAAGTGATTTGTGAATTGTGAATCATAACACAAGTTCCCTTAGGTGATCTCCTTCCAACACATCATTTAATTGCATTAAGAAACTATGCCCTGACATCAAGTTAGTATAATAACTTATAGCTGTATCTAGTCAACTAACTGTGAGAGATATTAATTAGGAAAATAAAAAGATTTAATTAATGATGCACTTTAAGCAAAATCTGATAGGTTATGGTTTTATCAAAAGGAGTAAACAATTTGAAAGATTTCTTTAAACATAACAATTTATTTGATTTTGTGGGACAATCAATTCTTTTGGCGAGTATTTTGAGTTCAACAAAATCAACATGGAACATAAACTTAAAGAAAAATAACAAGTTTTTGCATGAAACAAATCAACGTAAACTTTATAAATATCAAGATAATTTGTGTGCTCAATTTCAATGTCATAAACAAAAAGGATTTGAGCAGTTTGAATATAGTGCAAAATTTACGCATGATCTAGTTACACGGTATTTATTTTTAGAATATTTTGTTACCACTACTTGCTTCATTAAGCATCATAGCCAAGAGTTTAGGAATGAGCTAAGTTACAATTGATTCAAAATATTATCTAAGGTTTTATTTAGATCTTTGAAAATTGAGGCATCTTACAAGAATTATATTAAGGATGTTGTAACTATGTTGATTCCTAAGAAAAACTCAGTAACAACCAATCTAAAACCTATTAAAAGTACATTAATGCAAAAATGTGTATCACTTAAGTTGATATAATTAAAATAATTATAGTTACAATATCAATCTGCATTCGACAATTTTGAATGTGACTATGTTCATGAGCTTGAAATCCATACTTAATCAATTGTTAAAATTTAAATTTAAAATTAAAATTGAGCACGGTATTACAACTAAATATAAACTTCTGATAGGAATTGAGTCTACTTATAAATTTGATACTAAACTAGGGGTATAAGTGAGCTGAGCAGGCTCGCGAGCCGAGCTTATCGAGCTCATGAGTCGAGTTCGAGTTCGAGCTTGATGAGGCTTGGCTCGTGAGCTCATGAGCCGGCTCGAATTACTATTTGAATTTTTTTAATTATTAATATTTTTATTACATTTAAAAGTTTTTAAAAATTTAAGTTTAAGTCTGCAATAGCCGCATAGTTAATAAAAAACTTCTCAAATATTAATGCTAATAAATGTTGTAGCTTTAATTATTACTAAAATAGTAAAATTTAAAAGATGTATTTCCAACGCGATAGTATTAATTATATTATAGAAAAGCCGCAGGCCTCCTTTCTTTGCGGAAGGTGGATCAAATGCGGATGTTCCTCGGCTCCTCCCATCAGCCACTTCGATTCGAGCTCGAGTTCCTCGAATAGGGCAAGTTTTCCTCTTCGCCTCGGTTATGGGCTCTCCACCTGTGCAAAAACCGGGAAGGAAAAAAACACAGGCAGGAGCAAAATCAAGCGGCTCGATGCGCTCGTTCCAATGATGGGAGTCGACTCAGTATTTGACTTGTGAGTCGAGCTTAAACACCCCCTGACTCGAGCTCGACTCGACTCGTTTACACCCATAGACTAAACCAATTATACGTGATGTTTGTTAAAAGATCAATTTACCAATCCAAAAATGCAATTATTGACAAATTAATTGATAATATTATTCTTATGAGGAATGATCAAATTCACATTGATTTCTCTTTATTCTCAGTTTTGTGAAATGAACTCATAACAAGAACATTATGGAGAGAGTTAAAATGTGCCAATATTTTCGGAACTTCATTAATGATGATTGTCAAAAAACAAATTTTAAATTTTAAACTTTTTTCATGTCACCTCTAACGGAGCATAATTCATCAAAATATATTTAAAACATTTGAATTTTTTTTTTAATGTTATTCGTCCATATAAGTATATCATATATGCATGATTTGTCAACTTTTATTCTACCCTTCATCTAGATACAACAACAACATCAAGCCTTTATCCCACTATATGGGGTCGGCTACATTTATCATTTTTCTCCATTGTATATTATTAAGAGTCAAATTCTCATTTATATCTAATAAAAAAGATCAGTTCTAACATTCTTTTACCAAGTCTTTTTAGGAATACCTCTATCTTTCTTAACATAGGTCAAATCTAATACATCTACTCTCTTAACCAAGTCATCAGTAGGCCGCCATTTTATGTTACCAAACCATCTATGGCGACTCTCTCTAATCTTATCTGTCACTGGTGCTACTCCAACCTTTTCACGTATATGTTCGTTTCATGCCATGTCTCTAAAAGGTAAAGTCACTCACCCACCTGAGCATCCTCATCTCTGCAGCACTTAACTCATTATTATGCTTCTCTTTTAATGGCCAACACTCTGCATCATAAAGCATTGTAGATCTAACCACCATCTTATAGAATTTTCTTTTAAGTTTGAGTGAAACTTTTCTATCACACAACAAGCCCGATGCATTCCTCCACTTCAACCATCCAACTTGAATTCTACTAATAATATCCCCATCTATTTCACCATCACTCTGAACAATAGACCCAAGATATCTAAAATGTGTACTCTTATTAATGACTTGATCACTAAAAGTCACAAACACCTCACTACATCTATTACTGTTAAAATTACACTCCATATATTTGGTTTTAGATCTAATCAAACGAAAATTTTTAGACTCTAAGGTTGACCTCCATAATTCAAGTTTATCTTCAACTCCCTCTTTAGTCTTATCAACAAGGAGAATATCATCAATAAAATTTATTAGTACTTCTTAGGATGCATATGAGTTTAAAGCATAAATTCATTTCATTTGCATTAATTGCATAAGAAAATTTACAGAAAATTGGTTACTAATTAAGACAATGATAAGCTTTTTTCTGCTATGAGTAAGAGGTATAAGGAGTTTAAAACTGATGATAATCAAAGTTTGCTTAAATTCATTAAGAATTTCATCAGGATTCTTTAAAAAATTAAATGCTAAAAACATAAGGCCATTTAAAATCATGCATCATATTATAACTAATGCTTTTTTACAAATTTAAAAAAAAAATCCAAGAAATTCTAAAATTAAATGAATTTTAATTTTTCTAATTTGACATTATTTTATTAACCTATTATAAATTTCTTAAATTATTCTTTCCATCTCCTTTTGAACCCTTACCCGCACTTAACACTAACAAATAATTCTATACAACTTGTTATTAAATTGCACTAGATGATGAGATTTTCTAATGCTAATGGTTAATTCTTTACATAAGACATGTTTAATTGTAACGACTCATGGAATTTGCTTTGTAGAAATTTTTTTTTTTTTAATTACTGTTTTAGTTCGTTTGATGAGAAATGAAAAATTCATCAGAGATTGATTTGTCCAAATTGGCAAATTTGATGAAAATATGTATGATTATTCTCATTAGAAGCATCACTCTAAATGATAAAATTGTGTCCAATGCTAATAATGAATTCCACATGTATCTTGTTCACTGACGAGGCATGTATG